GTCTGTCTGTCTGTCTGTCTGTCTGTCTGTCTGTCTGTCTGTCTGTCTGTCTGTCTGTCTGTCTGTCTGCCTGCCTGTTTGTTTGTTTGTTTGTTTGTTTGTTTGTTTGTTTGCTTATCTGCCCGTCTGTCTGTCCAACTATATTAGATGACTGACAGATTTTCAGGCTGGGTGTCTGTCTGCCTCTCATCTTCTGTAGTTTTTCACAAAATTCGGTAAAATCTAGTGAAGCAGGGTCGTATCAAGAGGTCGTATCAAGTTTGGGATGGGTAGGGCAACATCAACAAAACATATATGAGCTCAGCAAAGCACCGCTCAGGGGCTGTTTGTCTTGCACCAGAGCGACCATTGTACTTTATTCTTCAATTATTTCGTTCTTTGCTGGAGCGAATAAATAAAGGTCATAAGCAATCCTCAAAAGCCTACGAAAAAAACTCATCGAAATTCAGAAGTAGTAAGTGGTACCATTATAGATTCTTGTTAAATGATGGCTTTCTTTCCTGCTCTATTCTGCTCTAATCATTAAGTCCACGGTCAACTTGTCATACATTTTTGCAGAATAGGCTTCATACCTGTGAACAAAGAAAAAATGAAAAAGAAAAAAATATGGGAGGAAGATGTGTGATAATTTCTTCTGGCGGTAACCAATCTAGTCTGAGGAATGCGCCGCTCACCTGGCTTTATTTCAGAATCTTAGTGGTGAATGCGTATGTAGCCTATACACTGACTTGCAGTATCCGGCCTATATACAAGTCGGTGCTTTTATTCTCCCATATGGGTCTTGTGCCAACTGAGTAACCCCACAGGGATGGACGGCTTGGTTCATACAGGCGGATTTCGATCAGTTATTCTATCCCTGACTATGGTATGTAATGGTGCGCCACTAGCCACTACACCACCTCCGCCCTACTGGGTAGAGATATTTTACTTGTTTTATTTCCTCGAAAATAGTTTTAACTCTTGATTTGTTGAATTTCTTGGCCTTTCTGTTGTTAATAACTTATCGTTTTTACTAAACTTCGTCAGATTTGTATAAACCTACTTTGAGACAGATTTATTGTGACAGAAAAAAGACTATCTATACAGGGGGCACTGTAGTGTTAATGCCAGCCACAGACACGATGTTGGTGCAGACCAAATAGGAGAGAAAGTACACATGTAATGCTCCTAGTTAATTTGGTTGACGGACATCCTCAGTGGCATTCATCGGATCCTGAAACAGTTGCAATGAAAATTTAGCACTGAAATAGTTGTAGAAGCCAGCAGAATTTCCTAACTGCCATCTCATTCACTGAACTTTCCGATTTGCTTTTAGACTAACTGCTTTTTGCTTTTCTATTTCTGGAAAGAATTCGTGGATAGCTATATCAAATTCTTGATCACAGTTCTTTCGGAATCATTTCTTTGAGTTATCGGTTGCAATTTCGTGTTATAAGATGTAATACTCTTACTTCTGAGCGGTTAGTTGTTGGTGTAACCCGAGTTTCGTAGCTCCGTCTGTTGCTTGTGGAAGTGCATTTTTGAGTAAAAATCGTAAGCATCTGAAATTTGCAATGCACTTCAGTTGATGGTGCATCGTTTATCAGTAAAAGATAACAGAAGAGACTATGATGAGTTTTTGTGAGAGCCAGAAAGTGTCTAGACAACATTCCAGGAACTGGGACAAAGATGACAACATTCCAGGAACTGGGACAAAGATCCAGAAGGTTGAATGAACAATTCACCTGAATCGTCAATATCTTCCATCCTTGCTCGACGCCTTCTCGTAACGATAAACTCCCTTTCTTCTTTGGGAAATATCGTCTCCAAGTTCAAGACACCTTAAAACAATGTTCCGGAAGAAACGCCAGAAAATTCCCCCAACACGTGAAAGGCATTTTAAATGTCATTTTTTTGCATAGAGTTATCTAAAGGCACGGTTCACGATAGAGATGCTTACTGAGTTCTTCCCCTGGGAGTACTCAGTGGCCCCAAGGGTAACAGAAAGGGCCCTAGCGCCCAAAAACTTGACGGCCAGGGCATACTTGAAGCCCTGTTCCCGGCTAGCGCGGGCTTTCCGCCCCTCGATTGATGTCGCGTCAGACGAGTGTCGAGGCGATACAGATTGGGAATTCTCGCTCTAGGATCCCCACACAATCAGCTGATCGCCAAGTAATTAAGCGATGATTCCTTTCTACTCCTTTTCTCTGTTGTCCTTTTTACTGCTGCGATCCCTTACTTGATTCTCTACTCCATTAGGCTTAAAAAAGGGGGCTATTTTCGCTGTTACTAATGTTTTTTGTTAACTTACGCTGATGAGTGAATGAGTTTTGCCTACAGTAGTCAGTCATTCGTTCCAGGACCCACACGTACGCACTGACACAAATTGTATAGCTCGTCCAAACGCCCCATTCTTCTTCTTTTTTCTGGTCTCAATCTCGTCCAGCCCCCTTTTTAACGATTTTTTCGAGGCCTTTTTCATTTCGGAACCACCGATTCACGCGGTTTCTCCTCGTTCATCGCACTATTTCCCATCTTATCTTTTCTGAAATATTATTGGAATTTCTCCCTATTCTCTGGACAGTCTCGAATCCCAGACAAAATAGACTTTGGTGCTCCCCAGTTCCCAAACAGGAAACCGTATATATCCATAAAGAAAGATCTCGAATAACGAACCTATATCGAACTCCTTTTTGGGTGTCTTCCCTCGTGTGATGTACGATTTTGGCAGATAAAATTTCACCTTCCGTTTTCCTGGCTACATTGAAAGTCATTAGAATAAGAAGCATCCGCTTGAAATATCAAGATTCTGGATGACCTAACGCATAAGTTGGCTGGAAAAGCCAACGTCTAGTGGATTTTAAAAATTAGTTGGGAAATTTAGTAATTGAAAAAGAACTAAAAAAAAAAGAAAATTAAATGATCCGGGATTGCTCTGCAGGAGGATGATCAGCTGTTTTCAGAAACATCTAAATCTATAAGCTAAAAAGTATATTAGAAAGCAGCAGAAAAGTGACGAGGGGCTCATCAACTACAGCGGACATCACCATCCCCTACTCATTTCTTCCAGTCGCTTTTGTGTTTTTTCTTGATTTCGTACGTAAGTGGCGGACCGCGTCCATCTAGTGTAAGATTCCAACCCCCCTCCCCCTCCCCCCCTTCCACTGAATGATCACGGTAGTTGTCGTGACACCACTGCGGTGTCCGCCCCTGTGACCGAGGAAATTCGGGTACAAAGTCCACCACTCGTCTCCCCCACAAAGCCACTGAGCAAAACAGTATGTCATCAGAGAGAGTAAAGAAGGGTCACGGCTGAAGAATCGTATAGTATCATCAGCTAGTGTTATTTTTTCGAATTAAAATACCTTGATGCCATCATCGCAGTCATGATAGACTTTGAAAACTGGATCGATTGGTGTCATTTCTGCTGTACCACCGCCAAGACGAAATTCACCATTGGAATCTGTGTAACCCGAATCGAGTAAGTCATCCGGGTCTGGCCCTGAATTAAAGATCACCGAATTTTTTTCTAACTATACCTTTCAGGAGCAACTGTCCAGTTTCCAACTCTGCCGATATTCAGTGGACTACAATACAGAAATCTCTTTACCAGTGTCTTCCTCCCATAGCTTTATTCTGACGTTTGTTGCTGGTCTTGGCCCGCAGAGTAACTTTCCGCGGATGGCATAGGACTGATCCATCATAGACAAGCACGTGCCAATCAACAGAACAGGTAGGATAGCGAATAACATCTCGGATTGCTCTGAATCAACAGATGGACGGATTTCCTAACTACAAACAGGCATGATGCTTCTCTAACATCGTAGCTGAAGAGCGAATGAATGCAATGTAAGGTTGCACCGTATGTCGAAGTCCATAAAAGTGAAAGCCCCTTCTTAAGAATAGTTGTGTTTGCTTTATCGAATTTCAACAGCCAGGAACTTCTTGCGGCCGAAATCCTGGCAAGCCGATGGTGAGCGTGTCGGGAGGGTGGATCGCCCACAAGAATCAAAACTCCTTTGCACGTGGAAGCGATCGACTGCCTAGCTTCTGAGAAGCAGTACTCGAAGCAGATCGTGACTACGCTCCGGAGCAATCATTCAAACATGTTTCGTTGAATTTTTTTATGCATTCAATGAATAAAAATTATTGGAAAACCCGCAGTAACTAGCAATCAACCCAATGCTATTATTGTGGGATACTACGGTAGGATACTACGGAATACTCCACAATTATCTCTGGAAAAGTTTAACGGCATTACCTCTTACTAACTACTCCCTCTTCTTTGTCTAAAAAGATTTGTTACCGTAATCTCAGGAATCATGAGGCTCTATCAAGGTGAAACTACCTTTCAATGATCCTTGTGTTTGTTTCAGTATTTTTCGTATTGTGGGATGTGACCGTGGAAGTTTCTGTGAGAGCGACCTTACCAGTGCAATTATTGAGTGAAGAAATAAAAGAAAAAGTAAATAAACCGAATGAATGTAAAATGTTTTCAACAATGTCCTCTATATAGAAAATGGGAGGGGTGAGTGTGATGTTGAAAGCATAAATTGGTGAATTTGAGATTATGACCGATAGAGCGGTATAAGCAGGGTGAGCGATGGTTAAGGCAAAACCGTGATGACAGTTGGCCCTAACCAAACTCCTTATCTGAGTTGGGAAAGGCAGTTTATGAAGACAAACAACACCTTTAGTGCGTCCAGTTGTTGATTCACGGGTGGTTTGACGTTCAAATTTGCATGATAAGGATCCACATGGATCCATAAGCCAAAATAACAACTCCTATCTCCACCACACCCCTTCGATCAAAAAACATTTGGATTTTGTGCCAAAATTAACGTAACGGTTGAAAAACCATGAAAGAATCGAGGGGGCAAAATGGACATGAAGTGCTCCTCTTTTTTAAGAATATTTTTGAAGCTGTTTTTTTTTTCTGAGGTGCACCTACGGCTGAAAGAGAGGCAGTTTCATGACTGAGAATTTGTACAAGAGAAATGGAATGGAAACAGTAGCTTGAACTTGCACCAGCGATTGCAGAATTGAATGGTATAAGGACGTACAGCGGAAGTCCAGCCGGGAGTCTTACAAAGGTATTCGTAGGGGAATCGCGAGAAAATGGTGCATCTTGAGATTCCTTCCACACTTGATA